GATAGGAATACAACTAAGACCCTAACGCCTTTGCCACCCGCTTTCGTGTGAAGGGCGCAACAGTAACCTTCGCAAACAGCTCTAGGGTCTATTCCAGTTAGGAGGGGCAGTTTCTCGGCGAACTAGTGTGAACTCGAACATTCCAGCTTTTCACGCATGTCAAGTGACTGCCCTCCCCCCCCCCCCCTAGACTGGCTACACTCCCCCTGGCTCGGAGTTACCCTAGCTTTCTGGAAGAAACTGCATCATGATGCCCCCCTAACTGGAATAGACCTCAGCTCTATTTTACCCACCATTTTCTATTAGTTCAGTCCAGAACCTGTCTTTGAGACACGAAGGGACAAAAACTTTTATAAAATCCTAGTGGCATTTTAACTCAACGTGGCCCACACAATGGTTTGTGTAAGCCTGGTGTTCCTCCTCTGCGTTTTTTCCTACCAAGCTAGTTTGGTATCAATCCATCGACTCAGGAGGAATGGAAGACTCTGTTGGTTTAGGCGATATTTGTCCGGTGGTCTGATATCGGGACGGCGTGCGTGCTATGTAGCCACCCCCCCCCCTGTCGCCAAGTCCGCTCCTCTCTTTACACTGTTTAGTTTCGTTCCAGACTTCCCATATTGCATTTGATATCGTATCTTGCAGTGCCGAATTTCTGTATTTATTGCTCTTGGGACTCTATAACTACTCGCCGTTCGTGTCTCGTTGCCTTGGCACATTAATCGCTGGTGAAGGGAAGTGGGTGAGGATTCTGCGACCCCAGGACATGAGGGTAGGTTTTGATTATGTAATAGACTATTCATTTTGGCGAATCTACATATCTATGAACTTTTAGAAGCAATTTCATTCTTTAAGAAAGGTTTTCTACTTTCATGCCACACCTGTTTACGCGTATTCCAAGAATCGCTGAAATCTATCGTTTATAATTCTTTTTAAATGTCTCCAAGAACTTCAAAGGCGGCATTACCCGATAGACTCAAAGGAATTGTCCACGAGGAAATCGTGATGCTATCTCACCCGTGAATCACT